TTTTTATTTGATAAATTCAGACTGAAATTAAATAGCCCATAGTATGAGACGTATACGTTGGGATATTTGTGATTGAACTTATCTCAATGTTTATGTGATTGTTGATGATAGCTTTATTATTATCGTCTTTTCATCTCTCTTGACGAAAAAAACTTTATATAATTGTTTTGTTGGACAGTATAAATATGTATGTTTTCTACACAACAATCATTCAATTTATTGAATCAAATAATAATCTTTTGTTTTTATATTTTAGATTGACTTCGACGATACAAAATTATAAAACTTAATTCAATTCAAAACAAGACAATAAAAAAATGTAGGTATTCGTTTTAATTTTCTTTTCTTTTGCTTTTTTCTTTCTTGGATCATACAGAGGGTGATAAGTCTTCTTATGAACTTTTTTTTGAAAAATTTTTTCTTTTCATTTTAGAGAATCAAGAATAAAAACAAATATAGATATTGATTGTGTAAGTTTTTCTGTTCTTTCCACATATACCATAAATTAATTATTTTTTCTTTTCTTTTCTTTTCAGACGTCATCATTCAACATCGACGGATGATTAATACTTTCTTTTTCTTTTCTTTGAGTTGAGAATAGGCTAAGGCGTAGACAAATGAGTGTTAGTGGTGAGTGGCATGAGTTCTGTCCATTGAGATTGAGTTCGTCTTATAAGAAGGACTTTCGGATAGTCCCTAAAAGCTCGATCAGAAACTGCTTTGATGTCTGTGGCACACGATCGAGCGTCCAGACTTACTGACATATGTGATTGAATGGATGCGTGTCGATGAGGAGGGTCTTCTCGCGCGTGCATGAGGATTACGCTCGTTACGACCCCACCAGGGTGATTCCTGGTTACACATGCGTGCATGCGAAAATAGAATAGCTTGGAATACATTTTTTCATTCAATAGCAATTTATTTGAAACAGGAAAAAGAGAAGAACGAAACAAAATAAATGCGGAAACTTCGGATTTAAATCCGAGAGTTATGTGTACTTCAAAAAGTGGATCATACGAATCAGTCATCCTAGAATGTCTGAACATCAAAATTATACCGGGAAAACTAGCATTTCAAATTTTGATTTTCATTGCACGTTGCCAAACCAATAGGACTTGGGATCGAACACAGCTCAAGTTTGAAGTCTTTCCCTTGATTTACCCTAAAACAGTCATTTTTCCTATAACTTGATTTCTATTGGCCACTGCACAACCAATAGTATTACGTTGGGAGTGCAATACACATTCGAGTTCTCCATCTCTGAAAACCTCGAAACATCATCACTGTGATCGGGAGATAGAGCTCTATTTGTGGATCAATTAGATCGTGAACCAAAATATAGCCCAGTTCTCTTTAATTATTCTTGCGATAGGTGAGTCAACCTTCTTATTTCTTTATGTTTTATAAATCATTTTGTAGCTCTTGAAATTCTCTATCGAATGGTATATAATAGTTAGGATCTTAATTGACTATGATAGGAAAACTCTTTTACGAAAGCCGCGATGGGTCTATTTTTCCATAGAAAGCTATAGGTAAAAAGGGGCATTTTCGCAATAACTCAGGAACGGCTCGGCCAGTCCTTCTCACCTTCAAACTCGACCAAGATATTGTCAAGACTAAGCTTTGTAGAAAGTTTCATCGCAATCTGACTCTGTTGTCAAAAGTTATCATGTGAACAGCCAACCGGACGCACTGACACACTGACTATTCTATAGTGTACTCACTTTTGGAGTATAGAAAAACTATGATTTGGTTCAAAACTAATATCAGATTCAGAATCAGCGTTAAAAACTGAGTCGATTTATGTATTTTGTGAATACTTTTGAGCAAATTTTTTTTTCCGAAAAATTCCCGTACCCCCCCTCAGGAATGGTCTGGTCAAAAATCACAATTTTTTTGATAACTCAGCCATTTCTCGACGGATCCTTTTCATCTTCGAACTCGACCGAGATATTGTAAAGACTGAACTGTGCAAAAAATTTCATCGCGATGTGACTCTCCTTTCGAAAGTTATCGTGTATACGGACGGACGGCCGGCCGGCCGGACGGACACACAGACCGATTTTAGTAGTGTACTCACTTTTTGAGTACACAAAAAAGGCTAGCAGGAATTTTGCCAACTAGGACTTTCCCCAATACGACATTCGCCAATGGCGAATGTCGTATTGGGGAAAGTCCCAATTGGCGAAATTCCAATATCCCCCCAAAAAATCATACGAATTGAGTCTATTCGATATTGAATTTTTGTACTCGATGATTCCAGCGATTGGCGACATAGAGATTACCATATCGATCGAATGATAAACCTATGGGACTATTGAGTTGGTTTGACTCTGCTCCTTCCCCGTTCCCACCAACAATAACATTTCCTTGTGTGGCACCTTTTGGCCAACGCATGATTCGATGATTCAAACAGTCAGCCACATAGACAGTACCCAATTGATCGACAACAACTCCTGCAGGTTCATTCAATTGTGTCATCCTATTTCCTGTTCCTTGACCACCTGCGATGAGAATGCCTTGCGTTGCACCTTCTTTCCATTTCATTACACGGTGGTTTCTCTGATCAGACACATAAATTGAATGCTCTCGATCGACAAATACGTAGCCCGGAAAACAGAACTGATCGAGACGCTTTCCTATTCCATTGCCACCCGCAACCACTGTTCCTTGAGTATCACCAATTTTATATCGTCTCACTTCATGTTTTACATGATCAACGACATAGAGAGAACCATTGTCATCCATTGTCAAACCGATGCAATCGATATTTAAAATAATTGTTTCTCCATGAGTACCATTTCCACGAGGCCATCGAACTACTCTTTTATTATTGTAATCGCTAATGATGAGACTATCTTTCTCTTTGTCGATAATCACATCGTATGGGATAAATAATTGATGAGTTCCATTCCCTTCTCCATTTCCACCAGCAACCACTGTACCGTTCGTTGCACCAAATTTCCATTCCACAATACGGTCATTGGCGCAATCAGCAACATAAATCGTTTGATCATCGTCGACGTACAAACCCCATGGGTGATTGAGTTGATTGGTTTCACTGCCCCGTCCATTTCCTCCAGCAACAGTGATACCATTTGCTGACCATGTTGAATTTGGAGGAATATCAATAGTTCTGGCGCGTAGTGGTGGTACTGAAATGAAATAAAAGTATGGAGTAGAAATAAACATGTACTTTTATTAAAAATGAATTTTTCATTCATGATCAAAAATACGGTAAAAATTATCGAATTTGGAATAAAATTTTCTTTTGTATACAATATGGAAGAGAGACATTTCATAGCAATTTTTCATCGATTCTAAAAAAAAAACATTAAAAAGTTGAGTTAAGTTTAGTTAACATTGGTATATGGAAAGATTAGTTTTATTTGAGTGTAAAAACAAATGCAAAACTTATTTTAAACTATCTATTATTAAGAATCTTTCATCACATGATTTATGTTTGTTGAAAAATAATCAGAGAAATCTTTTTCTAAAGATTCATCTTGTTTTACCCTATAGGACTCTATAGTTAATATTTCATTCGAACTAATTTTATTTTTGTTACGTAATGAAAAGATCTTCAGAAAATAGTTGTTTTTCTACGTACGAGGATGACCATGATCCAAGCAAGATATTCTAGTTATATGAATTCGTTATTGTCTCGCAATTATAAAATTTCGATCTTTTCATCTTAATCTTTAGATACCATGTCATGTGCATAGTGATGAGCATCCTGTTACCGAATTCTCACCGGTACTTCTATGACAGGTTATGATATTCACTAAAAGTTACAGTTAAAAACTGGGTTAATTTTTTATTCGTAATAATGTCATTAGTGTGACATAAATAACAAATCTTGATCGTTATAAAAAGTTGTCTATGTCAAGTTTTCAGTGAAAATACAAAGTCAATGTGCTCAAGTTTAGGAATGCGAATTTAAATTTTTCATATATTGAAATCAGAAACTCAAATTGAATTCTCATTAAAATTTTAGATCTTTTGCTTTTAATAGAATAACTTCGGAAATCTAGAGAAAATTGAATATCAGACTATCTGAATGTTTTTAGCGTATTAAATGTTATTTTAGAAAACTCTCAATCAGATATTTGAATATATACTTTTTTACCACGTTAAAATCGAAACAAAGGTTTACCCTCTCATGAAGGTCATGAAAAATAAAATCAGTTGTTAATTATGCATTGTTTTGAAAATTTACCTTTTATAATAAAAGAGTGTCTAATGTGAAATCGTCCATTATCTGAAAATGGACATCATCATCATTCAACTCTCTACTTACTAAAAATGAACAATTTTCTCAAAATAGTTGTTTTTTACGAAAATTTATTTGTAAAAGTTTCTAACTATTCCAGTAACACTATTTTGGATCATCAACAAGAAATGTTAGATTTCATATTCCTAATATGAAATGTACATGTGAAAATTATTGATAAGTTTATTTCTTCAAAAGTTTCAGAATTTCTATCGTGTATCTCAGTGCTTTTTTCTATTTGATACATTTAACATTGAATACGACTGTAGTTGTAATGCTTTTATTGATGTTCTGTAAACAGAAATGTCTCATTTGTTTGATAAAAAAAATATTTTTTTTCTTTTCTCATTCTATTGAAATGGTTTGTATTCGTCTATGTTTTGCGAAAAAACAGGAGAATTCTGTGGATCAAAACTATCCTAGGGCGAGGATTGGGACACTCGTAAACAATCGTATACGGCAGCGTACCCGATCGTGTACAGTCGTATACGATGTAAGTTACGACTGTATTCCCCCTATTACTTGCCGCCTGAATTACGACCGTATATCGTCGTGTTGCATACGACGAAATATGACGTGAATACGAGCCACGTAAACGATCGTACACGGTCGTATACAACATCGTTTGTCATCGTATTCTGTATTAGCTTTTTGTACCTCCCCGTCCCCCACTTATTCACCTTAAGATAGAAACAAAATATCTGAAGTGCCTAATCTGGCTGGGCACCCGAATTTATCTAAGTTAATACTTACTGTTCATTTGATGGTCGAAATAAATCTAAAAATAAAAGTAAAAAAATCACTTCAATAAATTTTAACTTAATGTTCATTTAACGGTCAAAATCAATCCAAAAATATAAAACAAAAAAAAATCATTTTTAAAAATTTTAACTTACCCACGAAAAAAAAATTTCTATAAAAACGCGTTCCAATGCAAACTTTCAGAGAAAAAAACGCTGCTTTTGCGTTTAAACACGTCTTCTTTTGTCTGAGACGCATCTAAACGCATCGGCTTTCGTTTACAACGCGTTTAAATGCATCTTTTTTTTATTTACAACATGTTTTTTCAACTTAAAATGTCAACTAAAAATTTCGTTCGAGCATGTTTTATTTTGTTTGTTACGACGCGTTTATTTGTTATGAATCTTGATGCGTTTTTTTTATTTCTTTTGTTGAAAACACGATCTTTTTACAAACGCACTTAAGCCATACTTTTCAACGCGTTTTTTTAATAAAGGTGTTTCAGCGTGTGTTTCAATTCATACTTTTTCTGGTAAAAATGAGGCTTTTACAAGCATGCTAGAACGCATGTTTTAATACATTTGTCATAGATCAAATGATTAACTTTACAAGCAAGTTGAAAGAATGTTTTGGTTCGTATCTTGAGTAAAAACATCGTTATAAGATGTAAAAGTCTGCTGCTGTTCAGAAAATAACATTACAGCTATTTTTTTCTTCTCCCTACACCGAGCGCGGCAGTATTGTCTATAGAACTTCTATGGTCCATATTCTTAGTTTGTTCTTCTTTATCTTTTTGTGTTCCTTTCTGTATTCCGGGTGTGGGAGGGTGTGGATGTTGGTGTTTGGGTGTGGGTGTGAGTGTGGGTGTGGGGTGTGGGTGTGGGTGTAGGTGTGGGTGTAGGTGTGGATGAGTCTGAGTCTGCGTCTAAGCTTGAGCGGACTTAAACAAAACACCCACACCCACACCCACACCCACACATCCACACACTCACATTCACATCAACACCCACACCCACATCCCTGAATGAAAGAGAGAGAACGATGCGACCTATTACTTTCGTTTTTTAAATAGCATAGAACTGTGCCACTATGAAAACAAGAAAAAGAAACAGAAAAGCAGACACGATGTCTAGACTTTTTCTATCTGTCCGTCTCTAGGAGAAATTTCGTAATTTAAAAAAATTGCACTAGCTCAAAATTGGATCCGGGTCGCCCGCGTGACAGGTGAGCATTCTACTGTTGAACCACCACTACTGACTGTTATTCACGCATATTGTACCTATAATGATACATCACGAGCGCAGATCTACCAGCATCAGATTGTCAGACAGGCAGTGGCTGATATAGTGCTTAATCTTCCATGAATCTAGGTTGAAATTAGCTGATCCGGATGATGCAGAACGAATAGGATGAATATAGTTACTGGTCGTATTAATAATGAATAAAATTATATGAAAAATGTTTGCAGCAGGAATAATTGAAACATTTCAAATGATTTTATCACTCCTTCCATGAACATATGAACTTATGAGAGAACAAAATTTAAATGGCTCATTCCTGACATGGTTTTGAAGAATTTAATGTCAATCTGCCTATTGAATTATTTCCCTGAGACGCAGATTGTTCCTTATATTGCTTCGGTGTATTCAGTCGTTTCAACAACAGCCATCACGAAACAGAACGAAAAAAATTGACATAATCTCCGTGAGAAGAGTTTTGCATTTGCACTCGTGTGGTGAAATTACATAATTACAACAAATAAAATTGCACCAGCCGAGAATCGAACCCGGGTCTCTCGCTTGGCAAGCGAGTATTCTACCATTGAAACACTAGTGCTTATAAATGGCTGGTTTATAATATATATATGGAATAATACATAAAGTGTAAGACTTAATGAAACCCACTCGATGAATCGGAATGAATTTATTTCGAGCCAATTCGAAATCCGGTAATATCCACAAAGCTACTAAGCAGACAATCAAATTATTTCTCAGATCTATATCAATCATTTGATTGAGATATAAACTAACAAAACACCACATGCAAATTTTACATTGCTTCGGTGAGGATAGTTATTGTGGAAGGGTGTGAGTGTGGCTGGGGGTGGGTGTGGGTGTGGGTGTTGGTGGTGTGGGTGTGATGTAGTGAAAACAAGACTCACACCCACACTCACACTCACATCCACGCCCACACCCACCCCACATCCACACACACACCGACCACACCCACACCCCACACCCACCCATACCCACATCTTTACGATGAAAACTTGATATGGTAATGAATATTGCTAGTGGAATGAGAAGAATACATGAACATCGAATGATACATAGAGATATTCGACCTGATAATATTCTTGTAAATGAAAATTATGTAGCTAAAATTGGTGATATAAGAATAGCACGTGTTATTGATCCTTTAAATCAACAAACACAAATTGGATGTGCACCATATATGCTACCAGAATTCTATCGTGGTACTTATGATCAAAAGCTCGATATTTTTACATTTGGTTTAACATTAAATGAACTTTTTACTTCAAAAAAACACATATTTCGGATGTTAGCTAGTAACAAAATTGCTTTTCAGGAAGAAAGTCCTATATTTGCTGATTTGATCGCTCGATGTACTTCTGATGATCCTAAACGACGTCCGACAGCGACAGAAATTGAAAAAACTCTTGATCTATATATTACTGGTTTCAATGAAATTATACTTAAAAAACAGCCAAGTTATATGAATTTGTCTACTGAAGATCAAAATGAAATATTTATTGCTTTCTATCAAAAATTTCATCCATCAGCAACTGAATTTATTCGTAATAAATTTCCATCTGAATTTCTTGATAATTCAGAAAATGTACCTGGAGTTAAAGTTGATAAAGATGCTGGTAATCAAATTCGTATCGAATGTCCCATGCAATAATTCTTTTAATAATATTCAATCTAACATTTAATATTTTTGATTCTGACTATAAATTCATTTTTCTACATGTTCATCAACTCTAATATTTCTAAATTTAGAATTTTTCTTGTTCTTCTAATATTTAATTAAGGTTTTCATTATAATTTACGAAAAAAATTTTAATTTTCACAAATTCACATTATTTTCCAGATATTTCAACTATATAGTTATGAGTTCAACTTCATTTGGTAAAAAACAATGTATGTTGTGTAACAAAATTGGCGGTTATATTGACTTGTGACGGATGTCAACAAGCTTTCTGTAGTAAACATGGCATTGAACATCGACAACAACTTAATATTGAATTAGAAAATATAATGCAAGAACATGATTTAATTCAACAAGATATTGGATTATCAATAGATAATGATTTATTATTGAAAGAAACTGATAAATGGAAACAAGAATCTATGAAAAGAATTCAATTAGCAGCTGAAAAAGTTCGAACTGATCTAAAACAAATTCTTGAAAGTTCAAATAATCAAATTTTAAAAACATGTCGAAATGTTGCATCGAAACTTCTTTCTGCACGAGAAGCTGAAACTTTTTCAGAAATTGATTTAAAACGATGGACAGAACAATTAAATGAACTTAAATCACAAATAAAATTATTACCCATGATTCATATTGTAGAAGATAATAAGTCTCCTGTTTATCTCATTGAGATAAAATAAACTAACAATGTCAATACATACATAAAAAACAAAGAATTATTATCATTTAAAAGAATTGAAGAAATATTTATTGAAGGAAATGGTTTAGCTATTATCGAAGATGGTGGTCTTCGTATCAAACATATTGATAGTGATCATAAATTTATTTTTTTTCGTGGTCAAAAATCTTATACGAATGGTTGTCATACGTTGCAATTTAAAATTGAACATAGTACAGGTTCTTATGATACTTTTATTGGTATTTCTTCATCTGATATTAATTTACGACAGATTATGTATCATTTAACTGTTGTTGCTAGTTGGTTTAATACTACTGAAGTATGGCTACATGGAAGATGTATTAAAAATACTAAACTTCAAGGATCGAAAAACGATGAAATAAAAACTAATGATATAATTCAACTAACAATTGATTGTGAAAACAAACAAATTGAATTATTTCATGAACGAACAAACAAAAAACCTAGAATTATTGTTGATTCTAATTAAGCTTCTCTTCCATGGAAAATTCTGTTAGCATTACGTCGAAAAAATGATTGCGTTAAGATTTTACAGAGCATTTAAATTATGACATCTGTACAGTATTGTTAATGAAACCGTCATCGATTACAAGAAAGATCTGTTCAGACTTAAGAACATGTTTTGACAATGAAACATAAATGTATCAGAATGTAACACATACTGATTTGTTATTTTCCAATGCAGTGATTTTTTATATCAACTTCCTCAATTGTTGTTTTTTTTTTCTCATCATAGATTTTTGAGACGTTTCATGACTGAGAAATTGTTTGAAAATTAAGTTGTAATCAATATGAAATAATTATTGTATTGAAATATTGATTTAGATTGATGATGGAAGTGTGCAATAGATCATATGAAGAAAAGTAATTCAAAAATGATTCATGATACAAGGGTGTGGATGGGTGTGGGTGTGGAGTGTGTGTGATAAGTGTGGGTACGGGTTTGGCTGTAAGTGTGAGCGGAGCGTGGATATGGTAGTGCGTATGTTTGTGTGCAGTTGCGGGTCTTCTTTCCATTCACACCCACACCTTACCCACACTCGATGCTCATACCCACCCACACCCCACATCCACACACAGCCCAAACCCACCCTACACCCACATCCTCTTGTTAAGATCTGGATGAGAGTGGGGTGAGTGAGCGAGAGTAGACTCATGAAAATGATATTTGATTGTTTTATCTAAGATCTTTTGAAGAAAATGGATCGGAACGGGGTCTCATGAATGGAGAATCTTATGCTCTATCGATTAATACTATCTTCGAATTAAACGGTAGTAAGAGTGGGTGAGAGCGTATTTGACTAATACCCGTTTTGAAGGATATTCATTGTTACAAGTTATTAATAGAAGTATTAGGCATAGGGTGTTTGTTTGCACTTGTTGCTCTTGGTTGCATATTCTCAAACGAAATGGAAAGGACATGAACTGCAAAGCTTCGCGCCAAACAAAATGCCAAGCTGATCGGCATTCATAGTTGCGGACAATATTGCGGAACTTTTAAGCTCTGTATAAAAAGAAACTATTGTTTTAGAGCCGATCTCTGTTACATCGAGACCATGATTGCCGTACATGGTTTGAATGGAAGTCGACTTTCAGCGGAATATAGTACTGTTTGAAAAAAGATAAGGCAAACCAATTCTATTAATCTGTAGCATAAATCGAATGGCGTTTTTTCTTGCCTATTATCGACAATGTGACCGGGTACCATCTGCTATTAACTTTCAATAATGGTTGAAGTATGATTATTTAAGGTGTCCGTAGATGCTTAACTCGACTTATTTGCTATTCGAAAAAACAAATGATGTTTGCAATTTCCATCGCTGCCACTGTACTCTTCTCGACTGTTAGCATCATATTGCCATTGGGTATGAAGTCGAGAAAGGATTACACACTGATACTTGTTTTATTTCATCAATTCTTCTTTTTGTTCTATAGCGAAGCCGGTCTTTAGCCAGCCAACGGGTAAGTCTATTTCGTAATAGTAACTTGGACATTGTTTCCATCAATACCATCCCATCGGTCAGATACTGCACGACTTCAAGTTTTCGATGTATGAGATTCTGCATGCTCACCTGACAAATCCACATTCGTTCATTCCATAGCTTTCCCATTGTTTCTCTGGTTTCCATAGTTTTATTCAAATTTTATTGCAATTTCTGGACTTTCATCAGTTTCTCTGACCTATCGAAGATTTCATCCAATTTTTTGAAAGTTCTTTTGCAGAAAATTCCTAAAATATCCAGGACCCTGTCGTAATTTTTTGGTAGAAAGGGTAAATTTTTGTGATCAAGTCAAAGCTGATACTTTTGAGCACTGTTTATTAATGTTTTTCCTATGAATCAAAGCTTCGAACACTTCTCTATCAATGACAAAGGTCAAAAACAGTGGCACAATTGTTTTATACACAAATAAAGAAGCAAAGAATGCACATAGGAATGAATAGACAAAAAAATCGAATTAGTAAATGAGTTTAAATATGTAGGATTTACATTGACAAACAAATTATCATTGAAACTAACAATTGATAGATGTATAGGAAACATTCAAAAATCCCCTGGGAAGCTTAAATAGTTAAGAGCAATACGCTTCATATCCATCAAGGTGCTTTGACAATGTTTTTTCGCATACACGTTTCCTCACTTTGCGTGGTTATTTCCATTCTTCTCCTGCTTCTCAAGTCACAACAAAAACTTTTACAGCAGAAATTCAGAGTTGGTCTTCGAATGGTGCATCACTGTCCCTTTGTCTCAACTCATAATCTATACATTATGACTAATAAACTCTTATTAGTGGCTTGCGTTAAACACTATATTCAAAGAAGAATAGAATGTATGCACACAACGGATCTTGGTCGTTCACTATTCTATAATGATATTTTTCTTTAGAATGATTTTCATAAAAGAAAGAACGATTACCTTGAGCAGTTTTTTTGTAGCAATCATGTAAGGCAATTGATAGAAAAGCATGAACTACTTTTTTGAAAATGAATATTATTTATTGAAATAAAGTAGTTATGTACAAAAAAAGAGCATGCAGAATCCTTCTCTCATTCATTGATTCTTTTCTTTTGCTTCTCCCTTTTCCTTTTTTCTGTCCTTGAAACACTTACAAACGTCCTCCTTCGCTTCTTTTTCTTTTCTCTCTTTCGTTTACTTACTTCTTCTCAAATTCTGAATTTTTTCATGTTTTCTTGTTTTGTTTTTTTTCTTTTTGTCTTTGTATTTACTCTTTTACATCTACACAAGCAAATTCAATGCCCTGTATAATGATATTGGTGGCGAGCTTAACTATCATAATTTCTCCTTATATTATCATGTAAACATTTCTGAGTGTTACATTTACGAGCATAATTTTAAAAAAGTAGAAATATTCAAATTTTTTTGTGGAACTCACGTATATTTTCGAAGAAAATAATGAGTGTAAGTTTTAAGTTCGAGGTTTTGCGGCTCCCCCCTCCCCTTACAGACCATAGCAACGAAAAAGAACCATACAAACACAACCCCCCCCCCCCCACCCCATTATAGACTGCAACAACCGTATTCATCAAATAGTCGATGGCGGAGAAAAATAACTTCAAATTAGAAAACAAAAAAAAATATTATTATCGAGTATATAACAATAATTATAAATGAAATCGAGCGCGCTTAAATGAAAAAACAATATTTTCTTTTTTAATATATATTTTTAATATACAAATGAATAATAAATTCCCGCTCTTTTCATCGATTCTCAAGGAAAACAACTATAGTTGACGAGAAGTCTTTCAGTATACAGATGATGCGTCAGGTAACAAAGCTAAAGGTATACGTGAGTTCCACATTTCTGCTCCGCAGGAGCTGCGCTAACAAGCTTTTATGGTAAAATTATCTATGGGCCACCTTGTGCAAGTTATTGTGTTTTTCAACCTATAATGTTTCTTTGTATAAGCAAAATGTATCAATCTATTTTATTTCAATTGTTTTCCGCAATTGCTTCCTAGCATAGTGAATAAGCTTCGCATTATTGCTGCTGCAAGTCTCACACAAAAGTCAAAAAGTTCTTCTGACACCATTACACACTAAACTTAGAAAATGAAAAGATAGAAATAATTTATGTTTATATTTTTCTTTTCTAGCCTGTCCAGCACAAAGCTCATTAATAACTTTTGATGATATAATAACTACAACAAGTATATCAGGAATTCCAGTACCAAGCGGCTATAATCGTTTAAATTGGCAAAATGTTCTGGTTGTGAATGGTGTAAACTATTTTACTCCTAATACTGGCTATACAACGGGTGTTGTTAGTCCTCCATATCTTGTCTTTAATGGATATGGTAATCCAATGGCTGTCACAAATATGGCTACCAGTACATTTACAATAAATTCATTTTATTCATGCGCAGCTTGGCATGATAACACTGTATTGACAATGATCGGTACAAGATCAGGCACCGTTTTGTATACGAAAAAAGTAGAACTATTTACAGAAAAGAGAACCTTTGTTGAACTTAACTGGTCTGGCATCGATAGCATAAATTTCAACTCGAGCTGTGGTTCATGCGATGCGAGTCATGTCACAATGGATAATTTGTGTGTCACATTCTAAAAACGAGATGTTAAAAAACACAAAGATTGGTGTTCATAGAAATAAAATTGTTCTTCACTCTTAAAGGCTATGCGGTTCAACAATTGACAGCGGCCCTTTTTTTAACCAAATAAGAATGGCATAGCTGGCCGTCGGAAAAATTTTGATTTTGATCTCGTACATTGCATTGGAAGACCTATAGAAAGTTGGCGCATGGGCCAAAAAAACTCAGCTCTTGAAAGCTAACCTGAACGAAGATATCATAGATAACATTTTAGCCTCATACACGTCTATGACAAAATAAGCAAAAAACGGGCACGTTTGGTATTTTTCATGTATTTCAGTCATTTCTCCACCATTTTTGGCGTGAAAACCACCAATCGATAGATCATTAAAAAATCCATCGAACGCTTTCCTATGTTACGCGTCAGCAGATGCTGAAATGTAATTATAATACAGCCATAATCATAATAAAATTTGAAGACTATTCGGGCTCTATCTCTGCCCATTGGTGATATTACACAAATCTGATGATACATTCGGAAAGCTCGTGAAATTTTGCATCAATATAGATTAAAATGAAAACAAAATTTTACTCGACAAACTGGTTAGAGACACTTACAACACCATCAGTCCCCGTGACTGAAGCAATTCTTACCAGTGTCAAAAGCAGAGAGAGATGAGTGTCAGCTACATAACCCAGCAATCAAGACAGCTACATATCTGCGGATTTTGGTATTCGAAAGAGGACATCGGGAATCATCTGTCCATATTAGATTTGATCGGTCAATCAAGTGGACAAGGGTGTGGGCGCGGAGTGTCGATGTGGGGTGTGGGTGTCGGTGTGGGTGTGGGTTGGTGTGAGGTGTGAGTCTGGGGTGTTGGTGGGTGTGGGTGTGGGTGTGGATGTGGGGCGTGGGTGTGGGATGGGGGTGTGGGTGTGGGTGCGGATGTGAGTCTTATTCTCATACCACACCCACACCCACGCCCACACGCCCACACAGCCACAGCCACAGCCACACCCACACACCCACACCCACACACCCACACCCACACACCCACACCCACACGCACACCCACATGCACACCCACCCACACCCACACCCACACCCACACCCACAACCACCCACACCCATACCCACACCCACCCACACTCATAGCCAAGATGTGTGCGTGGAAGGATGTGGAAGCCGTCTCTCCCCCTGAATGTGCTTGTCCGCACCCACACCTGCTGGCGTGATGTGTGGAAAAATGAATAATTGAACAGTTGAACAGTTGAACTTCAACTATCCAAAAAAAATGAATAGTTGAATAATTGAATAATTGAATAGTTGAAGTAAATTTTCAATAATTGAATTCAACTTTCAGATTTGACATGGATGAATTCGAGATGAATTTCCTCTTTGGTTGATTCCAAATGTAGGTAGTATTCAGGTCACTCCTAATTGGAATGTCCTCTAGTAAGATTTTTATTATTGTTTTAATAATAAAAATAATCGGTCACGGCACCAAATATTCATACAATGGGCTATTTAATTTCAGTCTGAATTTATCAAATAAAAATAATACTTGATTTCAAACTGAAACGTGAGTCTAGGAGTGAGGGGGGGGGTGACTGAGGGTGTGGGTGTTGGTCTGGGATCCACACACACACCCACACCCATGGTGCGGGTGTGGGCGCGCGAGTGAGGGTGAGGGTGTGCTAGTGGTTTTGTGTACTATAGGCTTTAGTCCCCTGCGCAGGGGACTAAGCGGGGACTAAGCTTTTTGTGGGGGGGACTAAGGGGGACTTTGCAGGACTAGGGGGGACTAAGGGTTTTTAGTGAGACTACGTAGTATCAAACGAGAAAAGTTTGATTCGGAAGAAATTGGTGTGGTTTTTTTGATTTTAGAATTCAGTTTGAAATAAAAAAGCCCATAGACTCCAAATATTAGAGGTCTAATGTTCGACCTTTTCTCTATTTATTTTCTAAATCAAAAATGTCCTTACACACAGGTACATACATCACACTCTACTCACTCTCTTTCTATCTATCCTTCAACGGAAAAAAACGTATATATATTAACTATATCCAGGGTTTGGAAGAAAAACACAAGTAACGCTCGTCGTTACGACTCACTTAGCCCTCGACTGAATCCCGTTCATTCATTATCTCTCATTACCTTCTAGATTTCGTTGTGAAAACTATTATTATATACACATACATGTATGAAAAAACCGTATACTATTGTAGGAGATGACCACTTTCTAAAAAGATTTCGCTTTTCAATTTTCTCCTAGGATTTTCCAAATTTAACCGTAAGAGGCAGCTCACAGTTAGTCGCCGGTGTCAATACGAGCCACCACTCGCGACTGCTCGCTTGCGTATATGACACCGGCATGGTTTTAAACAGTCCTTCACTTTCTTCTTAATCCTTTCGCTTTGTGATTTTTTGACAAATTGTTAATGTTCCTAACCATTGCACACAGTAACATACATTTCATTCTCATTTTTCTGCAAGACCTTCTTCTGTCTGAAGCTACAACGTCAGCCCTTTGTGTGTCATTATCGCTATTCGTGGTTCGTAACTCCTTATCCCAGTCCATTTATCGAGGATCAAAACTCATATTACCGCACTGAGTTTTTCGCAGTTTTCAGACACTTTCAACCGGTGAGATTCGATCAATGAGCAATTTTATATAAATTTCGCCGGCCCAAGGTGTACCTTCGGCGAACCCGCCAGATCACGGGTTAGTCGTTCGTCGGTGCCCCTTTAGGGCGCCACTCATGGCTAGCCGGTTTCATGTTTAAACCAACATACCCAGTAAATCACCCTCTTTTCTTCGCATTCTAGTCGAGTCACGTTTGGCTTACTGTAAAACATTGTTGTATTTATAACAAAAAAATTCTAGGTGAGAAGTTCAAAAAAACCATAGTT